TCAGCTCTGGCTCTGGGTTTGCGATGGGCTTTTTTAAAAATTTCCACAGAGGTATCAATGATTTGCTGGTGGGTAAATATCTTCCACTCTCTTGCTGATGGTGAAGGGGGATCCACATTGGAGAAGGACCCAGTTCACATATTCCACAAACGTCTCTTGAGGAGCATTTCCAGGCAGGCATCTCTTTATCTGAATGCTGACTCCTGCCCCTGCACACAGAGTCTGTCATCATCATTACGAGTGAGATGAGCAATGTCCAAAAAACTCTGTTTCCATCTTTCTGTCACGGCATGGTTGTAGCAGGATCTAATTGCAGCTGTCTCAATTTATTCAAACACTCAAAAATAACAAAGTTACTCAGGATTCTCAAATATCAAAACACTTGAACAGACTAACCAGCAAAATGCGAACAAAAATGGCACAAAGACTGACAGAAAACAGGCTAAATATAAACGAACAAACCAGTGAAACCAATGAGAAACAAGTCTGATGAATTAATCAAACATCAATGGTAACTAAAACAAACAAAGGAAACAGAACAGGAAACTCCAAACTCAGGACTCAGGAGTCCAACTCAAACTCTGACCAAAACCTGATCTACCATTGGTGCTTTTCCACTGCATGGTACGGCACGGTACGGCTCACTTTTTGGGGGTTTTCTACTGGGTACAGTACCTGGTACCTGGTACTTTTTTTAGTACAAGCTCGGTTGGGGTTCCAATTGAACCGTACCATTACCAAAACGTGACGTGTAAACTCTGCTGATCACGGATTGGCCGGAGAGAATCGTCACTACCTGCGTCACTGAACTTGCGACACAAACACAAAAGAACCGCTAGATTTAAATCAGCATTCAGCACAGCCAGCGAAGGATCGAATGCAACTGTTTTGAATGAGCGCACCTTTTTTTAATAACCAAAACGTTTTGTTGTCTGTTGCGGAAGAACAGACGTTCCTCTCGTTGATAGCAGAGGAGCGGATCCAGCGAGAGCTTGATGGGGCTACGCGGAAGGAAACTGTTTTTTTATGAGTCGTGGTAGTAGAGGCGGCGCAACTATAACGACATGTGAATAATCCCGCCCACTCTAAAGCGGTACTGAACTGCAGTGGAAAAGCAAACCGTGCCGAGCCAAACTGTGCCGTGCCGTACTGAGCTGTGCCGAGCCGAGTCGAGTCATACCACGCAGTGAAAAAGCGCCACATGACACCTAGTGAGAATCAGCAAAAAGTAGAGAAAATGTAATGCAATCATCAATAAGTAGCAATTTTGAAAATGTTCACATGATATGAGGACAGTAATTTTTAATATCATTCAGCAAACTTGAGTGTTTTTAGGACATTTTTAACAAAGTGTGATCAATTATGTGTTATAATTAGTGCATGTTTTACATGAATTATGGCCACAGCTTTGTTATGCCTTTTCCAAACAAAATCTTACTGAAAGTAAATTTTTTGAGATATCAACCTCAGATTTGGAACACAACTTGTTTAGATTTATGGCTTTTCTTGCCGTTTTAGAGTAAAACATGTTTTGGAAAATATATATTTGAAATAAAATTTTAAAATAGTATTTTTGTTCATTTTTCATAATAAACATATAGCTTTTTCACTAAAAGTGTCTTCCAAGTGTCTTCTTTAAAAAGAGACAAAACGTAAGACTGTGCTCCAAAGCATTCACAATTTACTACAGTTTAAGTTGGAAATTTAATTTTCAGGTCTATGTGCTCAAAAACCTAACAAACAAAGGTAATAAATGGATCACTATTCCATAAAATTATTTATTATCATAAAATTCCCTTAATACAAAATATTAAATAAAAAACATTATCAATCTAAAACATAGTACAGGTGTAACAACTGCTGAAATATTTTACTTTTACAATAAAATAATATACAGAACTATATAATAGTACATAACATATACAGAAAATAATAATTATATTATATTAATTTCTGTATAATATACAGAAAATAATATAACATTGCAGCACAAATTTAAAAACCATATGCTTCATTATTCAAGCAATTTTTTACTGTGTGTATTTACTAATGAACGAATAAATAAATGAATGCATTAATGAATTATCTTAAAAGATCATTTTCTATTTTTTTCTTAAAGGGTTATAATTTTTTTTAAGTCAGTTTAATAAAAAAGTCGAATTTGAATTTGAAAAGTAGACATTCCTCATTCGCTTCTAGTTATTTTATGTAAAAAACAGTCTGTTATGCTGCTTGATATTGCATACTGGTGTTTCTTAGCATGTTAAAGTATTATGATAATTGAATGAATGAATGAATGATGCATTTATATAATGCTTTTATTGTGTATTGTTGTACACCCAAAGCGCTTTACAATCATGTGGAGGGGGGTCTCTCCTCAACCACCACCAGTGTGCAGCATCCACTTGGATAATTGGATGATTAAATATATCCGATTAGATAATTATAAACAAACTGATTTGTAGCACAAATATTTTAAGTTTACAGCACTTTTTTACTCTTCTATTTATTTACCTACTGAATCAGAAGTCTCACACATTCACAGAAAACAGCTTACTACTACGTGGCAAAATAAGGTGCAAAGCCTATATATTCTGTGTTCTTTTCATCTTTTACTTGTGTGTGTGTGTGTGTGTGTTGACCAGGCTGACAGTGTGTGGTTGAACATGCCTAATGATGAAGCTTTACCATCAGCGGAGGAGCTGGAGGACTGGATAGAGGATGTTCTCTCTGGAAAGGTCAACACTGAGGATGATGATGATGATGATGACGACGACGACGATGATATCGATGATGATAGTAGTGATGAAGACCATTATGGTGATAATGATGATGATGATGATTAAGTGGTATATAGAAAAACTATAACCACTGCAGATTGTATTGATTCTGTTTATGAGACTGATGGTTTATTAATTACAGAGTTGACTCGATTTATTATAGAACTGTCTGCATTGCCAGCAAGAGACATTTGATAATGCAAAACGTAAAAACAGATAATGACATATTATAATTCTGGTGCTGCTTATTCATTTGGAACTGTACATGGCTACAAGAAATAGGGTGTTCTGTAGTATAACTTGTGAATTTTATGGGACATTTAAGATGTATCAACATGTTCAATAAAGAACACAAAATACTGTTCAGTTATATAATGTTTGTATTAACATTGCTACATGTACCTATATTTAATCATGTTTGGGGGACAAATTTGTAGAAGTGAGCTAAATCTGATTAAATGTCCTTTTGGTGGCATCTAGCAATACCCTAATTTGTAAAAACACTACATAAAAATACATGAAGTTTTCTGTTTGGATTAGGTTATAGTATTTATAACTAGCTGTGTATAAAAAAATATCAGAAGTCTATGGACTGTCTCTATTTAAACTACCAGTCAAAAGTGTTTGAACAGTAAGATATTTTTTTAAAGAAGTCTCTTCTGCTCACCAAGCCTGCATTTATTTGATCCAAAGTACAGCAAAGTAATATTGTGAAATATTTTTACTATTTAAAATAACTGCTTTCTATTTCAATATATTTTCAAATATAATTGATTGCTGTGATCAAAGCTGAATTTTCAGCATCTAATCAGTAATCTCCAGTCTTCAGTGTCACATGATCCTTCAGAAATTATTCTAATATGCTGATTTGCTGTTCAATAAACAATAATAATAATAATTATTATCAATATTTAAAACAGTTGAGCACATTTATTTTCCAGGAGTCTTTAATGAATAGAAAGATCCAAAGATCAGCATTTATCTGAAATAAAAAGCTTTTGTAACATTATACACTATACCATTCAAAAGCTTGGAGTCAGTATAATAATAATAATAATAATTTATTTTTTAGAAATTAATACTTTTATTTAGCAAGGATGTTTTAAATTGATAAAAAAGTTATGATAAAGACTTTTATAATGTTACAAACGAGTTCTATTTCAGATAAATGCTGTTCTTCTGAACTTTCTATTCATCAATGAAACCTGAAAAAATTCTACTCAGCTGTTTTCAACGTAATAATATATATATATATATATAAATATATATATATTGTGTACTATAGTGTAGATAGCTACTGCATGTGAATGTGTTTGGGTTTCTTATGAACTTTCTCATAATGATTTTAGAACCTTTCACATCTAACATCATTAGCTCAGCAGTATTGAGGAACATCTACAGATGGAGCCGCAAAGTAATTTAATTCAGTAGACACTATATGTGCACCACCAGACTAAGTGATTAAACTGGAATGCAGAACACTCCCCCTCAGCCTCAGTTACCCTCACCTTCATATGGATGCTCTTTCCAACGAGATTTATGACATAATCCAGATGCCGCCCATATGACTCATACCCATATGACTTGCCCATATGAATTAGACCAATCAGATGACTGATGTGACCTATGAGGGCAGCCAATCTCTTGCAAAGCTGAGGTGAAAATCCAGTGTGGCAAGTTTAAAACTGCAGTTTCACCTTTGCACTGAATCACAGAAAAGCTTCTTGAGTGATTTACTGCCACGGCATGTATTTGCACATACAGCACAGTGTCTCACAGGGAGGGTTAAAAGTACACTCTAAACTTAAGAGCGTGACATTGCTGATTTGTTTACCCTTTCATTATTTGCAATCAGAAGGAATGAATATTTATAATCTGGCCTATATGAACAATGAGCTTAAGAGCTAATTCAGAACAAAAGATCAGAGTACAGTTGTATAACATGCCTACAGTTCAACAACCTCAACAAGTACATACTTGGCAGTAAGAAAGGTTACAGATGAATTTCAGTGTTATTAAAAATGTCTGTTTTATTCAAATGTATGATATGAGCTTTGAAGCATTTGTTATAACAAAATCAGGCATACAAACAGCAGCCTTCGGCAAGTGAGGTGTGAGTTGTAAATTGTGAATGACTTAACACACACATACATACACACACTGGGTAAAAGCAGAGGCACAGTCACATTATGAGTGGGAGTTAAAATTATGCAAAAAGGATGTTATAATTTAGATTTAAAGTCAGTGATAAACTTTAAATCTAAATTATAACATACTTTTTGCATAATTTTAACTTTTCAACGTGTAATGTTGTAGTGTGCTATAAAATGTGTCTGGTTTGAATGTTTGCCTTAATGCTTGAGAACAGATTTTTTTTCCACCTCTCATGCTTAATAATCCAAAACTATACAGTCTTTACAAGTCCAAAATTTACCAATGAGAGAAATTATTAAAACATTAGATCTGATCAAGAAATTTGAACAAAATGTGTTAAGTGGATCATTGTATTGATTGCCAATGTCTCTATCTCTCTCTCTCTCACACACACACACACACACACACACACCAATATCTCCCATTGGTATACAATGTGCATATACAGTATATAAACAAAGACATGTCCTATCAGCAAAAACAAGTTTGTTAAAAAATGTGCATTGGAAATTTTTGATGTGCATTTACAGTAGTAGGTCATTTGGCTGAGATGATGTGCTTGTGAACCTTATGATGGGAAAACCTGTTGCTATAACGATACAGTAATTGGCCAATGTTTCTCAAAGTCTCATCTGTGCAGCTCCAACTGCACTATTGTGGATCTTGCAGAAAGTCTGCAGATCATATTCCCAGAGTGTTTTTATATAGAGTAGCGAGACAGAGAAAATGTGCCCATTTGAGTCCATCCATCTCTCTGTGGTCCACTGAAAAAGTATTTGACTGCACCCACTATCCTCCATCCTTTACCGTTTCTGTATTTTACAAACATTATATATGTAGTCTTCAGTAATTATACCCAACCTCCATAAGTTTTATCTGATCTGATTTTGTTTGGTTTGACTGCAAACGTGTTAATGCCGATGAACATGCATAAGCACGAACAAAACAAACCCATAAAAGAAAAAGCAATATATTGAAATATTTGATATACATATATATTACTTGAAAGTCAAATAAAAATACATCCCAGAAGAAAATCAGTTTTTGCTGAAAACAAAATAAACGAGAAAAAAAAACCCTCTAAACTGAAGTCTCAGACTGCAGTCGAAGCACAAACTTGTGTGACTTTGGGTCGATGAATTCTTCAGCAAGCTGAATATAAGGTATCTTTTTGGTAATGACTACTAGGCTAAAGTCAATGCATTTGAGCAGAAAAACGGCCCCATCTTTCAGACCACTGGTAACTGAGGCTTCGCTGATAAGGGTCCACTGCCTGGCAAGCCAGCGGTCCTTTCCATACTGCAGTGTAGGGCCTGTGGTCAGATAACTCTCCAGAAATGCCTGAAAAACAAGAACACTTCATCATTACAGTCAAATAACATTCGACTCAAGTCGATGAGAGCTTAAACAATCATATATTTGACTCCACTAAAGCCCCGTTCACACCAAGAACGATAACTGTAAAGATATTAGCGTTCACACCAGTGGACGATATTTTCTGTTTATTCTAAGTGCACACTCATCTGCCGCTTTAAATTATTGAGCTCATTGTAGCAGGATGGATTCTGATTGGGTGTCAATGTTTGTATCATTCATCAGCTGGAAAAAATCATTCTGAAAGTGATTCCAACGATATAATTTCTCTGTGCCTTTATCGCTATAGCTGTGGTGTGGACTCTGCTATTCTTTAATATTGAGAACGATTTTAGAACTATATTTTTATCGTTATTGTCCTTGGTGTGAACGGGCCTTAAAAGTTCCACTGACTTGTTCTGAAACCTGGCATATTGTATCAGTCTTGATCCATACATACGGCATCCTAGATTCTGCTCAATCATGGCATACTACTGAGAGCAAAACTGTATATTTTTATAGTTTTGTGTCTCTCGTAGCACTCGCATAATAATATTTAAATACACTTTATGTCTATAGCTGCATCTAGAAGCTTAGAAAGTTGACTTGTTCCCTTGCTGCCCTATCAGACATCGACTTTGCAGACAGTGTTTGCACATGAAGGTGCCTCAGATTTTAGAGGCAGCATTATAGTTTAATGATTTACAACAAAACAGTATAGGCTTGGTGACAACTCTTGGGCACCATCTTTATTTTTAAGCTCAACTGTCACGGAATGGAACGTACGGGATTGTGGGATATCAAAGGCAGCGAAGGATACATTAATGCTGCCTTCAAAAATCGATCAGATGAAAGCATCTCAGCCAACAGTATATGACATGATCATTGGATTGATTCAGACATGCCTGGCTGCCATCCTATCTCCATATGCTGCCAGTCTTTACTGTAAAATGAATCCCTTCAAGATTATTCATGAACACCCTGTCTGGGATTATTTTGTGATAAAAACCACCTGACTGGGATTGTCACTGTCAGTGGCCTCACCTTAGGTGTCATGTTGTTTGTGATGCAGAAGGCTAAGTGCTGCTGTATGCTCTCCATGCTGTGGAGGTGCTGTTGTCTGGTGGTGCGGAGGTATTTCTGCAGTGCTCGGGCCATGGAAGGGAAGATGGCTTGAGCCGCTTCACGTGGGTCCATCACGTCACCAGGTGCCTTCTTCTGCTCCTCCTCTTGCATGTGACGAATGTGTGTAAATGCCTCCTCCACTGCCACCACCAGCCTGAAAAAGAAATGGGTGTCGTCACACAGTCTCAAGTTTCTCAAGTTCAGTTTCACAATCTGTTGTTGTCTAGAGCAGTGACTCCCAAAGTGTGAGGCATTGTAAACTGGGGAATGCAGTAGACTTACACCAAGTACACTGTAAAAACTGTCAAAGTTGTTTCTATGCAATTATTTGTGAAATGGACTATTTCTGAATTAAAATGGTTTCAAAGTAAATCCTACATCAAATTTTTAGTGTAGTTCTCAAATCATGTTCACATTTAAAGGGATAGTTCACCTAAAAATCAAAATTCTGTCATTAATTACTCACCCTCATGTCATTCCAAACCCGTAAGACCGCCGTTCATCTTCGGAACACAAATTAAGATATTTTTGGTGAATTCCGAGAGATCTCTGACCCTCCCATAGACAGCAAGGATACTACCACGGTCAAGGTCCAGAAACGTGGCAAGGACATCATTAAAATAGCCCATGTGACATCAGGGGTTCAACTGTAATTTTATAATGCTACGAGAATACTTTTTGTGCACAAAGAAATAAAAAATAATGACTTTATTCAACAATTTGTCTCCT